TAAAAGCTGGGTAGCTTTTGAATTGCTACTAAATGGAGCTGTATTTCTCTCAGCCCACTGGCTGCAATGTTGACACCTTGAGATGCCATGAGACCTAAATCCTGAACATCATGGCATGGAGTGGACCCCAGTTTTCCATGTCTGGCATATAACCATTCATTTTAAACTGGTTATATTGATCCTGTGTCCAGACAGAGGGATAATCAGTAGCCCAGCATCATGACCTGTTTGTTCTGAAGATCCTGCTTCCACTTCTCTTCCTAACATGGCGCCTCCTCACCCTGACTCTCACACTGATAGGAGGAACCACAGAGCTCTGTTAGGTTAAAAGCACATCTTCTGAAGTTGGGATATTTTTTCTCCAACTGGTTCCAGAGGAATCACCTCAAACCAGATGTTGGACTGGATTTTATTTCACCGTCATTTGTGGCTATTAGAGCCTCATTTTCAACAGTGGAGCTATAAAGGTTTAAAAAGGTTATCATTTTGGAGAAAATCTCATCAACATCAATATTTCCACTAAATAAGAGGCGAAAAAAAATTGTTTGATAAAGGAAAAGCCTCTCAGACTCTGAGCCCGACAGCACCAAACTATTTTTTTAATATTAGACAATTAATTTAATTTCACATAATTATCGCAGTAGAAGATATTTGTTTGCTAAATACATAATGAAACACATTTACTGTGTTTGATGTCGTGAATGACGTGATACTCACAAAGAACAAGATGATTAGTCCAAGTTTGTCGTTTATTGAACGTTCAGCGGCTGTGATGTACCACAGCAAAGGTAAACAAAGGTAAAACAACCCGAACAGGTGATCAACTCTAAACCACTCACACCTTTTCACTCTCTGTCTGTCTTTGTCATTTAAGTACACAGTTGCCGTGGCAACCGTCTGCGCTCCTCAAACCGAGCAGGGATTACTTTAAAAACATAACATTCAGTCCGTTACGATATCAGGTTTTCAGGCTTGATATTTATTTTGCGATCATTAATAAAC